GAAAAGGAGGTGCTATATTTTAAGTAGAATCTTAGGATTGAGCTCTAGAAAGGACTGTAAGTCATTTGTTCTGTTTCTCATTTGAAGCTCCTTTGCAGAATTTTCTAGAATTGGCTAAGGATTCCTTCTTTGTTCTTATCAATGATCAGGCATTCATTCCAAAAAGGGGAAATAGAGGATTCTGATGTTTCACTCAGGAGGAAAAGGGAAATGGCTTTGATGTCAGAGCCTGCGTGTCACTTCAGCCCTTGGCCGGGCTTGCTCTGTGGCAGTGGTGTGATTTTCAGGGCTGTTTGTGAGTGTTTTGGGGGTGGGGTCATGAGTATCAGAAGTGCCTGTGGCTCTTTATTTTCCTTTTTAAAACATACACACCTGCCCATCTCCCTCCATAACTTTTATCCTACTCCACGCTTGCCATCCTGCCTCCTCCCTCTTCAGGCCCCATTTACCCCTGTGATAACTTGTTTTGGGAGCATTTACTGTGTGTCTGACACTGAAATGCCTTATACATCTCTCATTTAACCTTCACAACAACACCATGAGGTAGGTACTTTCATTATCTGCATTTAAAAAAGAATAGCATAGTACAATTACTCATCCCCTAGGCTTGCATAGCAAGGAAGCACTGGAATCAGGATAACTGGTGAGTCTTAATTAAAAAAATGTTTTTAAATAACTTAAGGTGTAATTACAATAAGATGCCCCTACTTTAAGTCTATATCTTAATGACTACATGTGCGCGCGTGCGCTCTCTCTCTCTCTCTCTCTCGCTCTCTCCCTGTGCAACACCCAAGTCAAGTTTCTGTCACCCCAGCAGTTTTTCTTGTGTCCACACACCATTCATTTCTCATACCCATCCCCAAAAGACGAAATTACTATTTTGAATCTGTAACACTAGATGACTTTTGCCAGTATTTGAATGCTATGTAAATAGAATCATACCATTTGTAGTCTTTTATGTCAAACTTCTTTCCCTCACTGTTATGTCTGTGAGATTCATTCGTGTTGTTGTGTGTAGCAGTAGTTGGTTCTTTTTTATTGTTGGGTGACATTCCATTGTTTAAACATACAACGGTTTATTCTTTTATTGATAGATATTTGGTGCTTTGTTGCAGATTGGGCATAAAGCATAAAACTGTGAGCATTCTCGAATATGTCTTTTGGTAGACATATACACTCATCTCTCTTGGGTATCTATCTAGAGGTAGAATTGCTAGGTCACAGAGTGAGTGTATGTTTAGTTTTGTTTGGTTTTATCAATTTATTCTTCTACTAGAATGTATGAAAGTTCTGGTAGGTCTATGTTCTTGTCAGGAGTACGTATTGGTGGTCTTTGAATGAGCTCTATCCAGGAGGGTGTTTGTTATAGTTCGTTGTGGTTTTCATTGTATTTCCCTGATGAGTCATCATGTTGAGCCCAATTTCTTATGTTTGTCAGTCATTTATTTGTCCTCTTTTATGAAGAGGTTATTCAAGTCTTTTATCTATTTTATTGAGTTGTTCATTTATTACTTCTTTGTTGACATTCTTTACATATTCTGAACAAAAGACTTATTGGAGATATAAATTACAAATATCTTGTCTTATTCTGTAGTTAGTCTTTTCACTCTCAAAGGTACCTTTTGATGAATGGAAGTTCTTCATTTTGGTGAAGTCCCAATATCCATATTGTTTCTTTATGATTAGTGCTTTCTGTGTTCTTTTGAAAAACGCATTACGTATCCATGTTTCGGGCATTTTGAAGCAGAAAAAAATGTGGAGATAGCCACTGCTGTAGAAAATAAGCCACAGTCAAACTGGACACTATTGAATTCTTGTTTTTGGATTGGTCTAGAGTGGTGTTCTGAGCTCTTGTACTTATGAAGCACTCTAGGTTTTACAGAGTCCTGTATTGTTTGAACTCATTTGATCACGTGCAGGAGCTCACTAAGGTACTTACAGGAGGGCCTAGTCCATTTTGACGACAGAAGACTCAGGTGGTCAATGTGAGCTTTCTTGTGGCAGCGGTGCCTTCTCATTTGCCATGGCCTGTGTGCTGGGGTGCAGCTTTGTACTGCTGGGTTCAGACCCTGACTCTGTAACTGTGCACAAGGTACTCAACCTGTTTGAGCCTTGTTTTGCTCATCTACCAAATGGGATAATGAGAGTATACCTACCTTGTGACATTGTTGTGAAGATTAAATGAATTAATTTACATATAGTGCTTAGTATGGTCTCGGTCATATAGTGCTAGGTTATTATTGTAGTTCTTATTTTATTATGGTGTTTGATAGGATCACAGTTTTTGTGATCCTATCAAACACCATAATAAAATGAGAATGAGTTCTGATTCTATTATGGATAAAAAATGGAATGAGTTCTGATCAATTGCCTTTCATTGTGTTATATTTTTTTCTTCCTCATTTAACAGTCCATATTCCTGGTAAGTTCTCTCTTTTTTTCTCTCTCCACTCTTGTTATGAAAAGTCAGATGCATTTCAAACACGAAGTAATTTGACACCACACATGAAAGTGTGCTATCTTACAGGGACTGACATAGAAAGTGTCAAGTCATCCAGAGTTTTGCTCCTTTTATTTTGTTTTAAGGGATGGTGGCTAATAGGGGCAAAAGGAGGGTAAATATGGGAAGAAAGTTATTGCTTGACTCCAAAATAAAAAAAGTTGACTGATTTCCTTGGTTCTAGGAAATCCAAATGGCTCACCCTTCACAGCCTCTGAGTTTGTCTGAACTTCCTCTTTGTGGCCCCGAGTGGAAATTCACACTGTGTGCCATGAAGTTGATGTGACATTTGTGAGGTCCCTGCGATCTTGGTATGCTAGGCAACTATTGTGGTCTCACTGTTGGCTGGTGAGCGAGCACCTAGCAGGAAATGACTTGGAGAACATTGTTTCCATGACTCCAGTGTAGAGAAGAGGGTGTCTTTGCTTTCCAGGGCAAAGAGAACAGAAAGGAAAAGGTGGGGGTGGGTGGGCAGCCAATGGCAGTCGGTCTCAGACCTAACTGTGTATCGGAATCACCTGGGGAGTTGGTTAAAATCCAGGTTTGCAGGCCCAGCTCAGAAGTTCAGACTCAGTAACGTGGGGTTTGGCTGGGAACCTCCATTTTAAGGGAATGTCTGGTTCTGAAGTCTGTGGTCTAGGAACACTTTAAGCAACACACAGAGGTCTAGGGACTTCAGAGTTCTGCACTGGACAGTAGTTTTGTAGGATTTTATTTAAGTTCAGAGCCTTAAGCCTTTGTGCTCAGCTCTTTGAACGGTAGAAGGGTAGAATCAATTCACTATGTCCTCAAAATATAGGGCCATCTCTTTGGAGCAGTGGCTGCCAGCACTCTGCAGACACCTAGTGGGCCTGGCACACTGAACGGGATGGTGGTGGGAAACGGGCACTTGGGCTCTGAGAATGACGATTTCTGAGAAGAGGAGGGAGAACCCTGGAAGGTGCTAGTAGAGAGAGAAGTTATTACATCTTCTGAGTCACGTTTGTGTTAGGGTGCCAGTGCCCGCTGTGGCCTTCAAAGGAATAGCTACCCTCCCAGGATTGAGTGTCTGTCCTATCACCTGCCTCTTAAGCTCAGTGCACCGTCTCTTCCACCCACTGGCCCACCCCTCTTGCCCACACACACCCCTGCCACTCCTCCCTCTCACACACACTCTTATTCACAACCTCACACGTTCACACCCTCACAGCAGTGCACCTCGAATCCCCAACCCCTCTGTACTTAAATGGTCATATCTTCAAAAACTTTTTTTTAAAGGAATATTGAGGATTGATCCAGGAAAAGAAGCATGTGTAATATTTAAAATATGTTCAGCATAAATAGGTCGAGCATAGTCATTGGAACCATGGAAATAAGCCAGGAGCAGGGACAGTTGGTGGGTTGAATGAACAGGCTTGGTGCTTGTGGGGCCCGACTGGTGGTATTCAGGGCGTGGCGGAGCCCCGTGGAGCTCAGCGCTGTGCTGCTCTGTGACCCTCAGCAGTGCTGTGGACTCAGATAGTAACAGGATTTAATTCTTTCACCATGTACCTCTTACTCGCTTCTTAGGCTTTCTCAGACTTTAAAGGTGAGGGTTTACATAAGCAATTCTTAACTTCTTGAGGGTTGCAGTTTTCTCTGATAATCTGATAGTTTGAATTGCTTCCACAGAGAAAGATGCAGACATTTAGAGGGGGGAAGGTGGTTTATGGACTCTCTGGAACACATCTGTGGACCATAGATAAAGAACTTTAATGAGCATAAACTTCTCCCAGGTTCATTTTTATGGTACAAGTCTCTTCTCTTGGAGTGCCTTCTGTAATAGGAATTCAACAAACACCATTTGCTATCATGTGTATGCTTTTTGGAGGGTTTGTCCTCAGTTTGAAAGAGCAAGCAGATTGCAGTGCGAGGATGAAAGAGCAAATGCATGTAAAGAACTTTGCACCTGACGTGGCAAGTATTCACTTAAGAAATACTATATATTTAATATAATCATAATTACAGGGTTGATCACCTCCATAAAACTTCTCCACCTCAAAAGCAGTTTAGAAACCTTGGACTAGCTCTTAGACCAGAATCACTCCAGCTTAGATGTTTTACCCTCTTTTATCTCAAGTCCAGTCATTCCATTCACTTCAGTGCATGCTTATTGCACTCCTACTGTGAGTAAAGCACTCTGCTAAGCATTTTGGGGAACAGGAAGGAACAAGATCTCAAGGACTAAACAAGGCCTAAAGTCATCACTTTAATTATCTATTTTCCTTATCTGTAAGTAGAATCATATCTTCTGTATTTATTCCTACTCCCTGGGATACATGGGCTCATTGAGAGAGATTTGGGACCATACCTTTGCTTTCTGAGACTCGAAGATGATGGCTCAGAAAAGCCAAGTGGTGTTTCTCTCTTTGTGTAATTAGCCCTAGGGACCACTCATTCTGTGCCATGGTGTTTCTTTAAGGTTTTCCTTCATCAGGATCTCTCTACCTGGGATCATACCCATGTCTTTCTTTCTCTGCAGGCCAGGGGTTATCACCATGCAGGCGCTGTCAGAAGAGGACCGGAGGCTCTGGATGGAAGCCATGGATGGCCGGGAACCTGTAAGTACAATTCAGGGAAGTGAAGCAGAAATAAAGGTCCTGAGTTGTTTGTTGCTTCCCTAGTGCTGTGATTGTTGCTGGTGCTCCAAAGCCTCGGGGCTCTCAAGACCAATGTACCAGAAGTTTTTTAAATTTATTTTAATTTTTTTAGATGTTTTATTCCTGGGCTGATGTTTGTAGATGTTGATAATGCTTCTGTGTTGGTGCCGTCCCTGAGCTTCGGCCTCTCTTTCTAAGATGTGGGTTCTATGTGACACTATACTAGAACTCCCCCTTTGCTGAGGCAGTTGTAGCACCCCTAAGTCTCCTAGAGGATGCAGAGTCTAGTTGGGCTTATTGAATATTTATTCATGCCTCCGTGAAGTAGTATGCAAAGCTTTATTTCAGTCCCATTTTAATAGGATAAATGACCATAAAAGTGTATACAGATTATACAGTGCATTTTCTTACTCCCTTCTGGTTCAGCCTCTTTTTGCCATGGTAGCTCACATCCCGTTATACACAGTGAGATTAGACACAGTGAGATTATTAGGGTTGATGGAAGAGGCTAAGTCTGGTAATGTGATCCATACTCCCATTTCAGAGATGCTGGCCTCTGCTGGGTGATGTAATCTTGTGGTTTTCCTGCATCTTGTGACATGTAAACCATGTAAGACCTCTGGGGAAGTCCCTAGAGTGGAGTTGTCATTTTATCTTGATGCCAAAGATACCACCTCCAGAGTTCAGCAAATTGCAAGGTTGCAGAAATCCTAAGAGGACAGTTTAACCATGTCCCACAAGTAAAAGATAAAAAGAATCCACACTGTTACAGGGCCAATAATTATTATTTGCATAACTACTATCCAGAGGGGAAAATGTGTGCAAGGGACATCAGGCCAAGGCCCTCACTGACTATAGAACCCTCTGTGTCAAGCTGGGCGTCCAGCAGAGATGATTCCAGATCGCGTGCGTGCGTGCGTGCGTGTGTGTGTGTGTGTGTGTGTGTGTGTTCAGCCTACCCTGGTTAGGTGATCTGTATTGATTAATGTACCTTCCTACTGAACTATTTTTTATACAAATGTGGAACTCAGTTCAATCATCTAAGCATATACAAAAAAAGTGTTTGCTTAACATCTAGTAATAGCACAATTTAAAGAATTATTTAAAGATTTTGGCACAGTTTGCTAAACTCTCATTAAACATTATTTAATCTGAATTCTCCTGGGCTAAAATGTAAGATATTTCTCATTTTCCCTCACTATGTTGTTACTGACATATTGAGCAGTTGCCTAAGTAGTCCTTCATCTTTGCTGTTATCATCTATCATTAGATGAGCATTTTTTGGGGTGTAAAGCACAGATTGGGCACATCTCTTAATCTATTTATTTCTCTTAGTTCCTTACCATTTCACAGGTGAGGAAACTGAGGTTAAATCACTTGCCTCAAGTTATATGGATTTAACTAGCTATATTAGAAGGATTCAGGCTAAGTTGCCATAACAAAGAGACTTTGAAGTACAGTGGCTAATATAAAATAAAAGTTTATTTCACCCTCAGTGCCCAGAAGTGAGCAGTCCGTGTACGTCAGGGTCATTCTGTCATCCTTAACCTTGGCTTCCCAGGTCATCGTAGTTGTTGCTGTTTTCTAATCAGATAATGGAGATGAAAATACCCAGGACCCAGAAAGTGCACACACCACTTCCATTGGCCAGTACATAATTATACAGCCACATCTAGCTGCAAAGGAGGATGGGAAATGTAACCTGTGCATAAGCAGCCATGGGCCTAGCCAGTCCCCAGGGCATCTTAACACTTCAAGGAAGAAGAAGAGAAAGAACACAGTGGAGTGGCTAATAGTCTTCACCATAGTGGCAAAGCTATAATTTGAACCCATGTAATTCCCAGACATATTTGATTTTCATCTTTAATAGAGATAACATGTTAAATTTCCTTCTAAGAAAACTTAGTTCATTTTTATAATACTTTCTCTGACTCTCTTAAATTAGTTTTCAACTTATAGGGAAGGAAATACCCAGGAAGAAAAATCCTGTCAGGGCATGCTAATCTTAGTATGGATAAAGAACCCAGTACTTTTGGTGCTTCTATTTTTGTTTATTTGTTTGTTTTTTTGTTTTTTGGGGTGCTTTTGCCTCCAATAAGATGAAATTTTAAAGCTGCTTTACCAAATCCATTTTATGCCTGTCTCCTCCCTCTCCCCACCACTTGATACTTGTTTCTCTGTCAGTATAGAATTGGTCTCCTTACTAATCACTTCAGTTTTCCTGTAGATTAACAGCTGGCCTCTGCAGATGGAAAGCTGTGCTATTGAAAGAAACATCTCCTCGTTCCAGAATGTACACATTAAAACAAGTTTAAACACAAAATAATTCTGTGGCTAAACATAATATAAAATTATTATCTCGTAGGAGCATATACCTTGCATTTAAAACTATACCTCTGTGTGCTTTCTAGTTCCCTAAAGAGAGAGATAAATACAGGCAAATGATGAGTGTGTAATTGGTGGGAATATTAGGCTTAATTTTGTCTCCCATTGCTGGGAGCCCATAGGGATCATAACTGGTGATATACACCCAGTAGACAATTAGCAGCTCCAGTTTTAATCACCGTCTCCCTAATTAGCTAAATCTGTTCCCTTGGGTTTTGGCTTTGCTAAGGGAACAGACATCTTTTTTCCTAGCTGGTCTAAGGGTGTTTCCCCTAACTCAGGCAGATGTTAATGGTGGCACCTATCTTTGCTTTTATACCCAGTTGATCTGTGATTGATTATTCAGTGTGGCATTGGGGGAGTAGTTTTGGTTTCCATACTTTTTGTTCTTTCATTGTTCAAGAACACCTCAGGATGGTTGTCGGTTTAAAAAAAAACCTCAATGAAGCCCAGATCAGTTGATTTTACAGTGACATTCTAGTCTGAAGAAGCGTCGAAATATCTTCATGGTATTGATGGATAGATGATATAGGAAGAAATTAGAGCTGTGTTACCTGCAATGGGCATTATGGATTTTATCTGTGTAGTGAATTTGAATTCAGATGATGGAAACGCAATTCAAATTTGTGTAGGAGAAAGCTGGATTGATGGACTTACATAACTGAAAAATAATGGAGCCTACCAGATCTGGCCCATCTGAATATCACAATATTTGGAGTTAGGTTCTTCTTTTGTGTTGACCTCATTTCCAGTGGTTTCTTTCCATGTCATGGTGATATGCTTCCTAACTGTTCCAGGCTTACATCTTATTGTCAAGAACAGGGGTTAGGAAACTCCTTATGTAAGGGGCCAGATAGTAAATATTTTAGGTTTTGCAGGAATTCAACTTTGCTGTTGTAGCTCAAAAGAAGCCATGGATAGTATGTAAATAAATGGGTGTGGCTATGTTTTAATAAAACTTAGTTCAGAAAACCAGGTAGAAAGTCAGATTTCAGTCATGGGCCATCGTTTGTTGATCTCAGATCTGTAAGTCTAGTGGAAAGAGAGCTTATGTAATTCCAAAGAAGTCTCATATTTGAATTGAACTAAATATGTGGACTAGAGGATGGGGTAGATGCCCTACCTGACGCACTCGCTTACTGCACTGGTACTGCATGAGTGGTGGGGAAAGGTTGACTTCCCCTGAGGGAAAACCAAGCATTGCTACATGAAGAAGGGGGATGGATACTGGGTAGGCAAAGATCACAGTTTCTCCCTACTATGCTATCCAAATTTTATTACATTTTATATTCAACGAGCTTACTCTTTAGTACTTAGCCAGGAGTGGAAATTATGCAAGTTAAAAACTGAATACTTTCCCCTTAAGAAGAGGAACAGGTAAAGATGTTCTTACATCTCTTACTCATCATTGTACTGGAATTCCTAGCCAGTGCAGTAGTGAAAGAAAATAAAAGACATGCAGATGTGAGTCTGTAACTATAAAAAAAACCTCAACAAGCTTCCAAACTACCTAGTCAGATAAAGCTTTGAAATGATTCTGCTGAATTTTCTTCATTTTCTCTTAAGTCTGGCTTGGTAAGCTATAGAATCACCGTTACAGCCACATAAGCTTTCATTTTAATCTTCCATGGCTAGTGTCTAAGACTTTCCGTACTAAATTGGACAGAAACCTTAGTTCAAAGTACATAAATACTATAGCTAAGAGAAATTTTAGAGGTAGCAAATTTTCTTTTGTCTGTTACTAATAACTAAATTTCTATTTCTTTTTCTCTTTGCACATTGCTAGTAAGCATGTTTGCTAAAAGCAAGGATTAAAATCACTACCAGCCCCCCATCATTGCCAACTCATACCCTCAACCTTAAGTACTCTCTCTACTATGGAACGATGACTCAGCAAGTCAGTGAGACGAATTAGGTAACCTGGCTTCTGAGAGCTAGGGTCAGCCTCTTTATACTGTGTTCCCATACAGTCCTTTAGCTGTGGTTAGTGGTGTCTGTCTGGAACTGCTTTTCTTACTTCATTATTTTAGAGGTTTTAGTCCTCCTTCACATTTCAAGGATTCTTTAGTAAAATTAACTATTTCTTCACTTTGAGCCAGTACTTGAATCTCTTCTGAAAACCAGAAGGTTAGAAGATTGGCAGATACCAGAAATTACCTGAATTGAATCAGGAAGATAAGAAACAGGTGGTATATATAGCATCAAAGATTGTATGTAAATCCATGTATTAATTTGAAACTATGAAACTGCTACCTTTGCAGGTCAAAAGTAGCCAGATACTGGTGGTTTCATCTGGCTCAGCCTCCTAGCTGTGGAGCAGAAAGAAGCACACACCTATGCTAGTATTTTACCCTTATTTATATAGGAGGAAACACTGCCCAAAAAGGCCAGTCAGTTGCTGGTCTTGGGTAGATAATCTGGGTCTCCTAGCTTCTAGCTCTGCTATTTTACTACAACCAACACACTGCTAAATTATTAGGAAGCCATAGTTGAATGGTACATACCCTCATTTTTAAATGGAGCTACCCTGTTGTAGCTACTGCAGTGGAAGGAGGGAAAAGGGACGGGAAACTAAG